ACTCCTGGGGATATACCCAAAGGAATGTGACACAGGTTACTCCAGAGGCACCTGCACACCCATGTTTATTGCGGCACTATTCACAATAGCCAAGTGATGGAAACAGCCAAGATGCCCCACCACTGACGAATGGATTAAGAAAATCTGGTATTTATACACAATGGAATTCTATTCAGCCATGAAGAAGAATGAAATGTTATCATTTGCAAGTAAATGAAAGGAACTGGAGAACTTCATTCTAAGTGAGGTTAGCCAGGCTCAGAAGACCAAAAATCGTACGTTCTCCCTCATTTGCAGACTTTAGATCAAGGGCAAATACAGCAATGTGGTTGGACTTGGATCACATGATTGGGGGAGAGTGCATATGGGAGGTAGAGGGAAAGGTAGAAAACCCAAAACATGAAAGTATTTGATGTCTCCACTGCAGAGGAACTAATACAGAAACCTTAAAGTGACAGAGGTCAATATGAGAAGGAGATCAGGAACTAGTGAAAAGGTCAGTTAGAGATGAATCAACTTGGACTGTAACACATTTATACATGGAAGCAATGCTAGGAATCTCTCTGTATAACTATCCTTAACTCAACTAGCAAAAACCCCTGGTCCTCCTTATTAATGTTTATACTCTCTCTTAAACAAAATTGAGATAAGGGCAAAACAGTTTCTGCCTGGAAGCCAGGGGGTGGGGGAGAGAAGGAGGGGGTGACGGGAAAGGGGGGGAGGGGGAGTAATGACCCAATCATTGTATGCACATATGAATGAAGGAAACAAAACAAACAAACAAAAAGAAACCACACATTCGAACTCCAGTACCACAAAAAAAAAAAAAAAAAACTACAGAAGATGGAAAGGTCTCCCACGCTCATGGATTGGTAGAATCAATATTGTGAAAATGGCTAAATTATCAACAGTAATTTATATGTTCAATGTAACGTCCATCAAAATTCCAATGACATTCTTCACAGAGATTGAAACAATCAATCGTAAAGTTCATCTAGAAGCACAAAAGACCATGAACAGCCAAGACAATACTGAGCAAAAAGAGCAATGCTGGAGGTATCACAATACCTAACTTCAAACTATACTACAGAGCCATAGCAATGAAAACAGAAAGGTATTGGCACAAAAACAGATATGAAGACCAGTGGAATAGAAGACACAGATATGAATCCACACAGGTATGACCACCTGATTTTTGACAAAGGTGCCAAAAATATAGCCTCATCAACAAATTTGCTGAAGGGAATGAGTAAAGGGTTTGAGTAGCCAGTGATTGCATCATATAAACTGGGTCTTGAAACCTGGAGAGGTGCAGGTGGTGAGGAGGGTGGGAATTCCATGCATGAAATACAAGGCAGAGATAGACTAGGGAGATTTAGGAACATGAGCAGACATACCTGTAAGACATGCGCCATGAGACTGTGCTAGATCATGGATACCAAGTAAGGAAATCTGACTTTAATTTTGTAGGAAACAGGAAGTCTTTGAAGGATATTGAACAAGAATCTGCCATATTCAGGGAATTTACAGTGGTGAAGTTATGAGGCAGATGGTGAGGCAAGAGCATGCTGTGTGACACTGGGAAGAGGTGATGGGAATCTGGGCTGGGGATCTGACAATGGGAATAGAAGGCAATGATATTACTGAAGAAGAAATGGCCAGGAGGACTTAACCTACAGAATATAAGAGAAGCAAAGAAAAAGGACATGGCATTGACTTCAAGTCCCTGAAAGAACTGTTATTCTAAGGGCAAACTGGTTTATATGTATTGTTTTAAGGCACAGTGATACACATAAGCAGAAATGCTCATTCATTTCTTTAGTAATTTGAAACTAGAACTTGAGAAGGACCAGAAAAAAGATATAATTAAAATGCTATTGTACCTTGGCTATGTTGTAGATCCTTTACCTATATGATTAAGAGAAAAACAAAGTTGATTTTATAATTTGGAACTATCTGCATTTCTCAAGAGAATGGATAGGGTTCAATGACGAAAAATTTATCATACTTTTTCTATGTCCTTTCACCATGAAAATAGTTATCACACAAATATATAAAAAGTAGTAAATCATATCACACTACATCACTGGATCACACAAGATTTCTGACTTCCCTAAGTTCATTCTAAGTTTTAGGCAGTAATTGAGACAAGGGAGAAAATGAAACAGAACTGTAATTGTTCTAATTTAAATTAATTTCCCCCTTGAGGGGGATGGATGACAAAACAGGAGTCAGGAAGGAACCACAGGAGAAAGTATTTGGGAGAACTTTCACCTGCTGAGATAAATAGGAATGAAAGTAAATTCTCACCCAAAAAATAATAATCATTTGCACAGTGTCTCCTGTCTAGAATTTATGATCAATTTACAGACATGCTACTCTCATTCCTATCATCAAACTTTCCACTCACAAGCCAGTTAGGAGTTCACATTCTACCTTCACACCCCCTCTGCAGACCAGCGTCTCAGTTTTCCCTACTGTTTTGCATGCTGGCCAGGAGCTCAGGTGCAACAGGCAGATCAACAAGGCATGACAGATGTTTTTTCAGCAGTCATCAGTCTTTTCTATTTGCCACAAGTCTCCAGGGAGAGCTGGGTCAATCCCTTCCTTCTTTCCAGAGGCTAGGAAGGTCATGTTGCTTAAAATTCATCTCTCAATTTAAATACCCAGAGCAAGAGAAAAATGCAGAAGCCATAACAAGAAAGAACAGAGGGGTAGGAAAAGGGCAGACTAGATTTGCAAAGTTAGGAAGCATCTTAGCATGCAGCAGATATTTAACATACAAGTGTTCTCATTCATGGTACTCTGAGTTTCTTAGACTCTAAAAATTCACTGCAATAAGTACTATAACTACAGTATTGTAATGTTAATGCAATGCTAATAAATCTGTGTAATCATGGATTTACTTAGTGGCAGAACTGATTCTAAGTCACAGAATATAAGTGACCTTTTTGAACTTGCTAACAAAGGACGCTAATATCAAAATTTCCACAAGATCCCACAGTGGAAATATTTATGTCAGGACGTTTAAAAGATATAGACATAAGGAATCATTGATTCTTATGCATTCCCCTGGAATTTCTTGCTAGAAACAGGAGGGGGAGTGGAGGAAAATTGAGATAAAAGTGAGTGCTTTCCCACTATCTTAAAGAATGGTTTCACATCTGAACTGGCTGTTTCAAGAACAACAGATACTCTGGAAAAAAATTTGGAGGCTTCTTAAAAATCTAAACGTAGACCTGCCATAAGATCCAGCAATCCCACTCCTGGGGATATACCCAAAGGACTGTGACACAGGTTACTCCAGAGGCTCCTGCACATCCATGTTTATTGCAGCACTATTGACAATAGCCAGGTTATGTAAACAGCCAAGATGCCCCACTACTGATGAATGGATTAAGAAAATGTGGTATTTATACACAATGAAATTTTACTCAGCCATGAAAAAGAATGAAATGTTATCATTCACAAGTAAATGGATGGAACTGGAGAACATCATTCTGAGCAAGGTCAGCCAGGCTCAGAAGACCAAAAATCTTATGTTCTCCCTCATATGTGGACTTAAGATCTAGGGCAAATACAGCAAGGGAATTAGACTTTGGTCACATGATAAGACAACAACACACAAGGGAGTTATGAGGATAGGTAAGAAACCCAAAAAAACATATGATAGCATTTGATGTCCTCAATGCAAAGGAACTAATGCAGAGACTTTAAAGTGACAGAGGCCAATAGGAGAAGGGGACCAGGAACTAGAGAATAGGTTAGTTCGAGTAGCATCAACTTAGAATATAACACATACGTACATGAAAGCAATGCGAGGAATCTCCCTGTACAGCTATCCTTATCTCAAGTAGACAAAATACCCTTGGTCCTTCTTATTATTTGTTTATATGTTCTCTTTTAACAAAATTAGAGATAAGGGCAAAACAGTTTCTGCCTGAAAGCAAGGGAGTAGGGGGGGAAGCGGGAGGGGGCAGGGAGTAAAAGGGAAGAAGTGGGGGAAGGAGGGAGAAATGACCCAAACATTGTATGCACATATGAATAAAAGAAATTTAAAAAAAAGAATCACAGATACAATGGACTGCTAATAACTGATGCACAGACTTCTAGAAATTAGGCATTTATGAACATATAAATCGTGGGCTGGAAATGGAGAGAAGTGAGGGAATATTGCAAGAAATCCTCTAACTGAAATCTGCTCAAATGGAAAGCTCTCATAAAAAATAACAACCTACTGTGAATTTCTAGTTAGACAACTGAAATACTATCACAAGACAATAATAAAATGTAAAACAGTTATTCTCCAATCTGTGCCAGCTGAAACACCAGTGTTTTGACAATGAAGAGTATTCATATCATCAATCCCCATACAACCCCTAGCAGGAGAACAGTCACTAAAATAGGACTGAAGTAACTCTAAACAAAAATAGCTTACAGAATTGGCAAATGGGACAATGGCTGTTTTCCATTATAATTTGGTAGCAACAGTTTACTTCCTCTGTTGTATTTTAAAATTATTGAATTCTCACAGTTCATAATTCCCTGATACCACAATTTTATTTGCATCCTAATTCCTGAATGCAACTGTTACCAGATTCCACAGAACACCATTGGCTGAGGCATAGTAGATTTAAAGATAGCCTTTTAGAAAGAAGTCCTTTAAGTGTTCAGATATCCTTTTCCATCTTTATGAAAGAGAGGAAGAGCAGAATACTCAAGGTCAGATGCTGGATTCTCCTCTGGGTATGGACAGTAAGGAGAAGACCCTAGAATACCCCCTTGGACCCTGTCTCCTTCTTGTGATCTGTATTCTTAAAAGGACCCCAAATAAAAGAAAACCAAGATTAACGGCTTCATGACATCAGGTGCAGCTACAGAAAATGAATTTTCCTGTGGCATTTTCCAGAGAAAACTTCAGAATAAGTTGTCAATCCCATCCTGTGCTAATGGTACTGTATTTGCATAAAATTGAAATGCACTTTATACTCTTCTCTTACCTGCCTACTGTCCCTCTGAGAGGACGTTGAAGAGGAGGCACTTCTATGGGTTGGAGTGGATGTTTTATGAGCAGGAGATATGCCCTTCTCTTCTGAACTCATTGCTGCAGTTAGAGTCTAGCTATGCACATTTGAGACCATCCCAATCTTCTCTTAGACTCACAGGTGAGGAAGCAGATGGTTTTTCAGCTTCATTCCATTTCATGAATCAGGTTATAGTAGGAAAAAGCAGGCAAACATTGAAGTGTCCAAACAACCTAAAAGCAAAACAAAGAGGTTTCATGTAAGTAATTAAAAATAAATTAAAATCTCTATATTTAGGAAAAAGTTAATTTGTGCTAGTAAGAAGAACTCTGACACAAAGGGAAATGCTTCTTCCTTCAGATTTTAAGTTAGAGGATAAAAGCATCAATATATTTCTTTGTCAACAAGGAAAATGGGAAGAAACCATATGCTCAAATCCTATTCTTCCCTTATGTTCTCTACATTTTAAGGTAGCTTGATTTTTATAATCTGGATTCTAATGCCAAAGTATATCAGCTTCTTCCCCAATAATTTGCACTTCCTGCACCCAATGGATTATAAAAGTTCAGTCCATGCTTGTCATTAATATAGTCCATCTATGTCATATATGTGATGGTTAAATCCAACACAAAGCGGTTATAAAAGGGTTAATTCATTATGTGCACTCTGTGATCCAGTACTGCAAAAGATCAGGGAATATCCTTGCTACAGTTTGGAAGTTGAATGTCTCCCAAAGACCCATGTCTTAAAGGTCTGATCTTCAGGTTGGTACTCTTAGGAACAAGAACTACCTCTACAGAATGAGACTATAGGAAGTCCTTAGGTCATTAGGAGTGGGCTCTTCAAAAGGATTGTGGGACCCTGGTCCCTTCCTTGTTCTCTTTTGCTTCCTGGCCATAAAATGAGCTGTGTGCTCTGCCATGTGCTCCCTGTCATTGCATCTGATACCTTCAGCCAAGTCCTAAAAGATGGTGATGAGCCAGGAAGAAAAGAAACACCCCCTCTCCTTCCTAAAAAAAACACCTGTTTGTGCCAAAATCTTTGTACTGAAACATAGTCCTCCCACTGGCAATAAAAAAAACTATAAAACCCAACATCTAATCTGACTCAGAGGACCACTGGTTTCTGGGTCCCGCTGCATGTCCCCCCATGCGGCCTTTTCTTTCTCTTCTCTACAAATAAAACTTCTCTGACCTCTGCTGCTCAAGTCTGCCTTTGATTTCCATCTAAGCATGGAACAAGGACCCTCACCACCCCAAAATCCCAGCGTATCAATTTGAATAATCTTTAAAGATCATTTTAACCAATTACCAGTCAAGTGTTTGATCACCTGTTCTATTTTAAAATGCATTATAAGAGTACATTTAAATTCTGCTAGAAGGTTGGACCTACTTATTCTTTATTCCTAGAGTGTAGGAATTATTGTGACATAAAAAATACTTATTTCATTTCTATCAAAGAGCATTTTCAGAAATTGCCTAAACAAGGTTCTAAACCTAAGACCGTAATTTTAAAGTCAATACCAACATAATTACTATACTCAATGAGAAAAGTACAGTGACTGAAAATAACAGCAATATGAGAGCTGAATGCCTCATTTTTCTGTCTCAGTCTTCCCTTTTATCAGTAGGTGTACTATAAGTATTGCTAAGTGCTGTAACATTTGCATTTACATGATTGACATAAAATTCAGATTTATGATACATGGACCTCATTTTTTAAAGCAAAAAGTGGTAGGGAAAACTTTCAGGACTTGCTGCTCACTAGGCCTCATAAATTATGTGTCCAGAAAAACATGTGAAACTGAGGACTATTTAGCATTGGCTACGTAGTGATGCAATCACAAGGAAGTCCCAAACCCCAGGGGCTTACAAAGGATATTTATTACCTGCCAATTTACAGACCCATATCCTAGGCTTACATAGAAGAGCAGTCCTCCCTACCCCTCTGCCCATGAGAGGGAGGGAAAAGAGCCCCTATGGCGAACCATAGGGACAGTTCTTAAAGCTTTTGCTTGTAAGTGGCACATGTCACCTCCACCCATATTTATCGGCCAAAGCAAGTTATATGGTCCAGATGAGATCGGTGATGCATGAAATAACTCCTACCAGTGCGACTGGCAGTAGACACTGGGGAAGAATAACATAATTCGCTATATAAACAACAGGAAAAGATTAAAAATTCAGATGAAAATGTTTGACTTGACTAGTTTTATCACTCAAAGATAATCCTTGTTAACATTTTTGGTTCTACTTTAACCAAGGTCAGAGAATATCAATAGCACTATCTGTAATATGCCTTTTCAATTAGTATAACACTAACAGCTTTTTTAATGACAAAGAACTTCAACCCCAGTCTTAGCCAGTACAGATCAAGCTACTATACAAATATTCAGTAGATCTAAGCATTCTTACACTGGGACATGTAAATTGTATTCAGTGTATCTTGAAACAGTAAGATTTATCACAAAAGAATACGTACTAGCTACATACTCAATTTTAAGCCTTATAAAAAAGACTGTTCAATACTTTTTTGCTTTTTTTTAATATGCTTTCTTTTTGTTTACAAGTATTAATGAAGTTTTGTCTATTTGTCATGTGTAGTTTTTCTGTATCATTTTGTATTACATGTCCCTGCAGTAAGCTCATACTGAGATTTTTTTTTTTAATATCTAACTTTAGAGGCTTTTTCCAATTTTCACTTAGTGTTATAAGTAATAGCTGGGCTTATTCCTGCTGTATGATTTTACACATTCTGGTTTTTTTTTTTTCCCCTTTAATACTTAATGGCTTTTCCTTTACAATCTGCCTAGGCAATATACTGACTTTTACTTTGTTTTAGTTGACTTTTATGTTTGTCAATAATTTTAAAAATATGATTTCTGTTTTCAAGTCTTATCTCTTTTTCCCTTTAAGTTTTTCCAAATCATTCTGGAACCTACAGCTAGTGACAACTGAAAGTAAAATGGGATCTTTGATGTCTTCCTGTGTAATATAATCCCCATTCTCCTCCACCCTACCACCATCAGAATGCTCTCCTGCCAGCCTTATCTCTATCTTGGTGATTCTATCAAAGGGTTTTGAGAATATCACTTGGATTCTACAGTAGTAGAAAGTTGCTGGTACTACTTTTTCTGGTGGAGGCCAACTAAGATCTCAAGGTGTATGGACAAACTGTAAGGAAAGCAAAGTCAGTAAGATTAAAAGCAGGTTTCTTTTCTGCAAGTGAAGCTAAGGTTTGACATAATCAAAACCTGGCCAGGTTTTTCTCAGTTTGAGATATAACCTTCATAAACATATGGTTTAGTTTTGAACACAGACTTCAAGTTAGTTTTTGGGTTACTGATAGTTTATCTTTTTTCAGTCTTTGTGTAACTATTTACAGAGAATTTGGGGGGACTATATTACAGATCCTAGACACAAGCCACTTGAGTCAGGACATTTCTATCAATTGATTGTATCAATGCAGATGTCATTCTTGTGCTGAGGGTTGGAGTAAACTAGTTTTCCATCAAGATCACTGCCAAAGCAATGAAGGCTTATAGTCATTATATTGTTATGACATACTACTGTTCTTCCTTAAGGAGAAAAGATAATGAATCTTTTTTTTTTTTCCCTCCTAAGGTCATTAATACAAAGGTAAGAAAAAAAGCAAACCAAGGTTGATTTTTTGTTTTTTGAGACAGGATCTGCTCGTAGCTCAGGCTGGCCTTAAGCTCTCTATCTTCCTGTGTCAGTCTCTTAGTGCTAGGATTACACCCATGTATCATCATGCTCCTCTAAGGACTGATTTTAAGAAGGTAAGCCAGTGACTTTAGGAAAGATGGCAGTATGATATGTGGTAGTTATTTTCCTAGAAAATGGCTGAAAAACCAAGGATGATAAGGACTTTCAAAAAAAAGAGAGAGATTATTATTACTTATATTAAGAAACAGTGATTTCTACATGCCACAAAATTTAATGAGTATGTGCTAAAATCACTTAATTCAGGACACAACCATGACATGGAAAACCTAACTTCCCTTCTAAAGATAGTGAAGCAGTGTTAGAGGGAAAAAGTCTGGCAAGCTCGACTAGTTTCCCCAAATTGGAGAGGTAAGAGGCATGAGACACAGGCAAAGTGCTTGCCACAGGTCAAGCTTTCTGAGCCACTGAAGCACATCCCTCCTGGCATAGTGAGTACCCAGCCCTGTCTTGCTCTTTACTGTTTTCTTCAGTCTTAGCTTCCTATGAACAATATGGATACATCCCAGCATATCTCCAAAATATAAAATCTTCCCCATCCAAGGCTAGCCTCTGGTACAGTTGCTTACAAAACCAAGGAGGGAAAAGTACACAATGGCTCAGGTTCTCTGATAGTACTGACCAAGTCTCCGTTCCTCCCCACACTCCTTAGGCATAAGTAAGTAAATAACAAATATCACCTCCTTTATCACCCAGCCCTCCAGGGTGAATTTTCAGAGGAGGATTTGAGTGTGAAGTGTAATTGGTACAAATAATCTTTTGGCAAAGAGCAGACCTCACACAAAGAAAAGAAAATTAAAATTTAAAAAGTATATTAAACATCTATGAAAATTCATTCCCCAAAGGAGAGAAAATTTTTATGTGCAAAAGTTAAAGAGCACCTTTAGAATCAGGGGAAGGTAGCTTTAAAGCATAAGTGACTAATACTTTCACAAAACTTAAAGAAGAAACCGATTAAGAGATGACAAGTTTGGGTGTGATGGGAACTGGCCTACTTAAGAAGTTAAGGAAACAAATAACAACACCAGAATCGAAATCTACTAACTAAAATCTTACTAATGAAGCACAGGATGGTTCTGCATGGAAAAAGTTAGTGATAAGAAAGTTAAAATCGAGAAAACCATCTTGCAAGCACAAAAAAGAGCAGGAAACAGTTTAAAGCATAAAAAAGAAAAGTTAAGAGCTATGATAACTAACTGAATCTACAGATCATAACAGTCCTGGACAGGAACTAAAAAAGAAAAAGAAATATTCAAAAGGAGTCCTGAACATGGAATTCAATGTGGAAATTAAAAGGATCACATATAAATTATATGAATAAATATATATAGCAGGCTGATAAGAATTTTGAGTTCTACTTTATGTCTCTTTAAAATACAGGACCAGAGAAGAGGTTTGTAAGGGTAGAAAAGAAGGTGGACATATTCTCTGGAAGGCAGATAAGTCTCTTGTCACTCTCTCTCTCTCTTACACATCTCACTACACACACA